AGAGAGAGAGAGAGAGAGAGAGAGAGAGAGAGAGAGAGAGAGAGGGGTTTGGAATTAAGGTGTACCTGAAGGGACTGATGGAGTGGTAGCTGTGGAGACTGGGAGCGAAGCTGTGGAGGAGGGGAGAGAAATGGATAAGGTTTCAGACTGGGAAAACGAAATGCGAGAGCTAAAAGCGAGCGTTTGAGTGGGGATTGGAAGAGCTCCGAGTATCAGTGACGCCATGGTTGAAGCTTGAAGCTTGAGAGAAGCGGATAAGGTTTTCGAGGGAAAGTGTTGTGTTTTAGGAGATGGCTCCTGTTTTAGAGACCGTTGGGTTGGCTCTCGCTTGTAATAATCTTGGGCTGGAATTTCAAAAGGCCCAAATTGGGGTTCATTCACAAGGCCCAAGCTCACAATTAAGGTTGGGTCTTCAATTAACAGAGGAAGAAAATTTGTTTGGCCGTCCAAGTTCCAACCAATAAATTAGAATGTATCCAGAGATTTTATATGTACAATGAGAAATTTTGGGATTGTTTTCAAAATGTGGTGGGTGTGCTAATCAAAACCTTAGGTGCATTTACAAATCCCTAAAATATTCTTTCATACGTATGATGAACCTACGGTGTTAAACCAATGTTAAAAGATATTTCAAGTTTTCTCGTCAGTAAAATAAAAAACAAATTTATTTGATTAGTGAGAGAAAATTACTCTTTCCTAAGATGATGAGAATGCCCTCTTTAATATTATTGTTGGATATAAACAAGCTGAAATAAGTAGCTAGAAATGTGGCCTATTCTGATATTAAGCTCTAAATTGATACAATGATGTAATTGGTATTTATGTCCAGATATTTAAAGATTGATTCATCATTAATTGAAACAAACATTTTTATACCAAATTTAGAATACACTAGATGCCAAAAAATTTGCCAAATTAAGGACCAGCACTGCACGAAGTGTGTAGACCAGTAACATGCAGAATACTTGATAGACAGAACACACGTGATAAAATGATGGGAAATGATGACACCCAACATTCTCTGGTCAAAGCCATAATGCCCACTTAAAATATCTTTCCAACATACTCAATGGTGTCTCCAACATACTCAATGATCTCTACCGTGATTGGTGGATGATATTTGTATATTATTTCTCATTGTAATATAATATAAATGATAGAATACAAACGGCAAAATTCAAGTTGCTCAAACATAGATTATTGTTATCTTTCACTCTTTCATGGTATCAGAGCCCTACGTGGGTTAATCAATTATCTTATTCTTTGAAATCCTCCAATGGCCTCCCAACCTGCATCTTCTCTTCCCAACGTCTCCTGCCTTGTGTCCATTAAACTTGACGGCGACAACTACACACTTTGGCTAGCTCAATTTCTTCCTGTCCTGCGCAGCAATGAACTTATGGGCTATGTCGATGGAACAAAGCCCTGCCCAAGAAAACTTCAAGATGATGGTACAACCATATCAGCTGATTATATTACATGGCAGAAGCAAGATCAGCAACTTCTGAGTTGGATAGTTTCCACTCTCAGTCCCACTGTTTTGGCAACAGTTACAAGGTGTGCAACCTCTCAGGAGGTGTGGCAGTCTTTGCAACGTCGGTATTCTTCTCAGTCTCGATCTCGAGTACTCCAATTAAAGCATCAGCTACAAACAACAAAGAGGGGTAATTTATCCATTACCGCCTATATAGATAAGATGCGCAACATCGCTGATAAACTTGTCCTTGCAGGCAAGCCAGTTGATGATGAGGACTTCATCGACCTTATACTTAATGGTGTTGGTGCTGCATTTGAAAGCACTGTCAATTCAATTTTAAGTCGGGAAAAAGCTGCGACACTTGATGATGTAACAGCTTTATTACTTAACGCAGAAACCCGAATGGAAGATTATCATTCTTCCCTTCCTTCTGATGGCACCTCTAATGCTTTATTTGCCTCCCAACCACACAGTTCTTATCAAGGACGCGGTCGTGGTGGTTCCTTTGTTTCTAGGGGCCGCGCAGGCTCTTCCTCTGGCAATCGCAGTGGTTTTACCAACTCTGGCCCAACAGTCAATCGTGGTGGCAGTTCGTTTTCTGCAAGTCGTGGTTCCAATTCCTTTCGGAGTAATTTCAATTCCTCCCGACCAGGTGCTCTTTCTCAAGGTCGTGGTGGAACTTATGGCTCATTCTTAGCTCCTTCTACGAACCAGGTTCGATGCCAGTTTTGTGGTGGCTTTCGCCATACTGCGATTAATTGTCATCGCTTGACTAATCTGTTAGAAGGTCGTATGCCTCCTCAACAACTTTCCTCTACTGCATTGGTTGCTGCATCTCCATCTGGACTTGAGAAAACAGATACATGGTATGCTGACAGTGGTGCCTCAACCCATGTTACTGCTGATTTAGGCAATCTTCAACTTCACACTCCATACCCGGGTTCGGATCAAGTGGCTGTTGGTAATGGTGCAGGTTTGGCCATTTCAAATATTGGTTCAACTAGTCTATCTGGTTTTAAACTGAATCATGTGTTACATTGTCCCTCTGTGTCTGCCAACTTGTTAAGTGTTAACCAATTTGCAAAAGATAACAATTGTTATTTTATCCTTACTTCTGATTCCTTTTTTGTGAAGGACACGCTAACGGGGAAGACGCTTTTCCAAGGCAAGAGTGAAAATGGATTGTATCCATTTCGTCCGTCACTGCCAGTTTTTAAAGCATTTGCTGTGATTGGTGAACGTACATCCTCATTTGTTTGGCATCAACGTCTAGGTCATCCTTCAAGTGTTGTTTTTCAGAAAATTGCTTCCTGTGTTCCACTTAGTCATTCTGAGTCTAAATTTTGTTCTTCTTGCCCTATGGGCAAAAGTACAAAGCTTCCATTCTCTTTGTCTAGTTCTGTTTCGGTATTGCCTCTGCAATTGATACATTGCGATATTTGGACTTCTCCAGTTGTGTCAAATAAAGGATCCAAGTATTTTATCTTATTTCTAGATGATTGTACTCGATATACATGGATTTTTCCTATGCGCTACAAATCTGAAGCTTTATCCTATTTTCAAAAATTTAAAACTAATGTGGAAAATTTGTTGTCTGTTAGCCAGGTGCTTCGTATTAAATCTTTGCAAACTGATGGTGGTACAGAATTTTTAAGCAATTCTTTCCAAGATTTTTTACAAACACATGGCATTACTCACCGTATTTCTGTGCCATACACTCCCGAACAAAATGGGGCAGCTGAGCGCAAACAGCGTCACATAGTTGATATGGGTCTCACACTTCTTGCAACCGCTGGCATGTCTAATAATTTTTGGGTTGATGCATTTAATACCTCTGTTTATCTCATTAACCGATTGCCTGCTCGTCAATTAAACTATATCTCACCTTATCAAAAGTTGTTTGGTCGTCCTCCTTCCTATTCATATTTACGCGTGTTTGGTTGTGCATGTTACCCATACTTGCGTCCATATAATAAACACAAACTTCAATTTCGCTCCAAGCAGTGTGTCTTTATTGGTTATTCTCTGCATCATCAAGGTTACAGGTGTTATGATTCGCAGAATGGTCGTGTTTATCTTTCCCGCCATGTCGTTTTTGATGAAAATACATTCCCTTTTCAGCAGCGGTGCGCCTCATCTCTCTTGCCTTCGGATGTGTCTCCCACGGTGGTTCTTCCTTCTCCCCCACTTATTTCTTCCCCTCAGGTAACTGATTCTCCTCCTCTTTCTACTAATACGATGTCTAATTTCCCTTCTTCTTCTAGCTCCTCTCACTTATCTGATCAAAATTTGTTATCTTCTCCACTATCTGATAACCTCCTTGCTTCCTCTTCGTCTCCGCCACCAACCATCCAACCTCCTTCAGTCGTGTCCAACACACAATCTTCACCTCTTCTCCCAGCTCACAGTACTCCTTCTCCCATACCTCCTCTATCTCCATCTGGTTCCATTCCAGTTCCCCCTTCTTCCTCGCATATTGGTCATCCAATGGTTACCCGATCCAAATCAGGTATTGTTAAACCAAATCCAAAATATGCTATGCTAACCATGCCACAGGTACATGACACAGAACCCCGTACATTTGCCCAAGCCAATAAGGACCCACATTGGCGTCGTGCCATGTCTCTTGAATTCCAGGCGCTACAGGATGCTGGCACATGGACACTAGTTCCCCGATCTTCTTCAATGCATGTTCTTCCTTGCAAATGGGTATTTAAAATTAAGCAGAATTCTGATGGGTCAGTCGAACGTTATAAGGCACGCTTAGTTGCCAATGGTTTTCATCAACAATCTGGCTTGGATTACACAGAAACATTTAGTCCAGTCGTGAAGCACGTTACTATACGTCTTGTTTTGGCTTTGGCTGTCTCCAACAATTGGACAATCCGCCAGTTGGATGTTCAAAATGCCTTTTTACATGGACAACTTACTGAGGAGGTTTATATGCAGCAGCCCCGAGGGTTTGAGGATCCCATATATCCACAATATGTGTGCCACTTACATAAGTCCCTGTATGGCTTGAAACAAGCTCCACGAGCCTAGTTTCAACGTTTCTCTCAATATCTTACTGATCTCGGTTTCTTTGGCTCCCAGGCAGATCATTCATTATTTATCTATAATATTGACGGTGTTCTTCTCATCCTTTTAATCTATGTTGATGACATCTTGATTACAGGGAATAATTCTTCTCGTGTTGATTGGCTTATATCCTCCCTTAGTACAATTTTTGCCATGAAGGATTTAGGCCCTCTTCACTATTTCCTTGGTCTTGAAGCCTCTCGCACATCTCGTGGGTTATATTTGACCCAAACTAAGTATGCTTCTGAGCTCCTCAAGCGTATGAATTTGTTAGCTGCTAAACCATGTGTTACTCCTGTTGGTTCTGGTTCCAAACTCAGTTTGTATGATGGTGACTCTCTTCCAAATCCAACCGAATATCGCAGCATCGTTGGAGCCTTGCAATACCTTACACTCACCAGGCCTGACATCACCTTTGCAGTCAACCAAGTGTGCCAATTCATGCATAAGCCTAGCACTAGTCATTGGTCTGCTGTCAAACGCATCTTACGTTATATCAAGGGTACCTTGCATGAAGGCTTATTTTTTCAACCAGGTGATACTCATTTGACTGCCTTTTCTGACTCCGACTATGCTGGTGATCCCGACACACGTCGCTCCACAGGTGGTTTTTGCATATTTTTTGGGCCCAATTTAGTGTCCTGGAGTTCTAAAAAGCACCACACGGTTTCCCGTTCTAGTACTGAATCTGAGTACAGGCAACTTGCTATTACAGCTGCTGACTTGTATTGGGTTCGTCTCTTAC